TTATCTTGATTACAATTATTTAAAATAATGTACCAGTAAGGAATTGGATTTCTCTTTCCATTACAATGAAAAAGGTGAAGATAACGAACAACGATCCTTCTGAAGAAAAACATACAAACAATACAAATCTGTGATGAGGGCATAGAAGACGGACCTCGGAAATTCCAGAGGTGGGATCAGGTACCAAGGTGGAGTATGCATTCCCTGTTGACCGGTCACACCCTCCGTAGGTCCTATGCATTGATCAGGTAGACGGAATGTTCCGTAGTGAAATTTACCATAAAAATAAATATCTATAAATGAGTATGAAATAAATTTAGTCAAAACACGACCCCACGACTTTTAAAGATATAACTTTTTGTGGTTATACAGCATCATTTACTATCCTGAAATTATCACTAATGCCAATTAAATTATTGAAATTTTATTATAACTTTTTGTAAAGCTGCAGATCTCTAGAACTCTTGTCTGAAAAATTTAGAATTTATGAAAAGAGAGCTACAGATCTACTCTTTAAAGGTATTTGCATTGTTTTTATTGCGAACAAAAAGTGCGCACTCTTCTCGATTTAAATCTACGTATATTTAAGTTGTCGTATTAAAATATATCTGGCTGTATGTTATTATCGTATTCTTTTACTATATCCGAAAAATGTATAACTGTCATCAGCAGCCCTAGTAGGCCTTAAATTGCTACACAATTTATTTTCGATAACTTTGATAAAATGCATTTACAACCCATGTAAAAAACTTTATTATGAAATATTTGATGTCTTTGAGGTGGACTCACAGATATTGTTACCATCAGGGTAGCTCAATCCCTAGAGCGCGCGCTCTTTGATCTGAAGGTCGTCGGTTCAAGTCCAGAGTGCAACAAACCGAAGTCGATAAAAAATAGGTTGCAGATGTTTCTTCTCTGAGCCCTCCGCACTTTAAAGTCGTTCTGGGATGAAACCTTAAAAACCGAGGATCTGTGTCACACTTAAGAACTCAGTCACTGCGCTATGGCCCTGAATGCCGAGTAATTAAAGGTCTAAATTTAAAGCCTCTATCTAGGGACGTCTCATTTAAATTAATTACGCAAAAGACGTCACAGTACGTATGTCTGTTAAACTTTCAACAACTTTTACTTTTGGTTAGCAATTCCATAAAGCTAATCTGATCAATTCTGTCGTTTTAATTTTGTTTATATGTACGGAAATGGAATTGTACCCCACTCCTACAATATGTACCTCACCCAAAGATTTCTTGTATTTCATGTATAAATGTTTTACTTTTATCGAGATGTATACTTCGATTGTAATGCCTTATTTTGATTTTTGTTTTGCTTTACTAAATAGAATACTTTACTAGGAAAAGATCTGCTAATTAAGTTTAATATTCCATTGTACATTGTACATGCTATACTTAACTACCTGGTATAATATGTTGACAAAACAATAACATTCAATATACAAATTTGGAATGTACAGAGCAAATAATAATGCAGAAAAAATCGTATAGGACGGAATGTTAATTCGAAAATTATTAAAGGAAATAAAAAAACCTAAGTATTTAGACATTATACCAGCCAAAATCATTAATCATTGGCTGATCTTTAGATATTTCATCAGATTATACATATATGTTAGTGATTTAACACCTTTTTTAATGTGAAAAAATTCATATATTGTGTTCCGTATTGTTTTATACAGTATGCATCGCAAGATATTCAAACGTGTACTTTCTTTTCCTTGATTATTTGGGGAAAAGTAAATAGATTCAATAGAAATGCTAACATAAAGCGAAATAACACTGTCTTACCCGAGTCTTTCAAACCCTTTCTTCTTCAAATAGATGCTTGCAAATCTGTTGTGTCTAGCATCTTTCTTTTATTAACTTAAGTCTGCATGAACGTACATGTAGTCTACGGCATGGTCAATTTTTGGAATGTTTTAGACATACGATATCGTTCACATTATATCATATATATAATAAATAAATTGAAGATAAACATGCGTATTATAACTTTTCACAATTATTTGAGTACTGTTGTATGTGAATACCAACATTTGGAAATGTAAAGCTGTGTCAAGTAATGGGCACTTGTCAACTTATCTACAATAGCGCTTTTTATTTTAGCGAGTTCCTGACAGAATACCATAACAACACTCTGCTACGTTACGGTACTGTTACGACAATAATTGTTGCAGGATTATGTAATAAAAACCTATATGCGTATTTACTTAATAGTTCTGATGTACGACATTTTATGCAAAATTGCTCTCTTATTTAGTATTATAAAGTGTTTAAAGGAAGTTCAACCTCGGCAACATCCGTGCGGATGGGGCATTCACCCGGTACACAGTCAGATTCACATATAGTTCAACATATTGTACCATATGTTGATGGTGGACACTATTTCGAACAGTTGTGTCCAAATTTCTCAGGGGCTTTCTACATATACCTAGGGTTTTCAACGTTTTAGAGAATTCCTCAAGTCATTATTTTCTACAGCGTTATAAGTATTTGCATGTAATATAATTCTTGTCAATTCATATTACCCATACGAGTCGCAACCATGTGATATTTTGCTGTACATCATAGCTAAATAACCCCCCCCCCCCCCGGATTAAAAGCAAAACAAAACAGAATAAAGCTTAGGAAACTCAAAATCGACAGTTACATTAAAATCCATTTATGTCTTAGCAAAGTTGTGAAAAAAAGAAAACAATTAACAATTATATAAGTTGTAGATTTTCGTTAACAAAATAAAATGCCTATGTAAATCTGTATATCGACGCTCGACGCTTTAACAATTAACAGTAGTTAAAACATGTGACAGAAATATAGAAAGCGTATTGGCATTATCAACATCCCAATTTAAAGCAAAAAGGATTAGGAACTAAAAGTTGAATTTATCAGATTTACCTGCATCAAACAAGGAAATTAATGCTTAAGTCAATTTACAATTTTAGGTGTTGTTTATTAATCATTAAGTGTTATGAAACACTTTAATCTCAAGCTAATATACTTGCACCACGGATTATACATGTACATTTAGTAATAATTCTACTGGAAACTAGCTTGCTACTAAGAGTTCTTAGAAATTGTGGTTAGTGTGGCCTGACGGCATCGTCGGTAACCCACGGTTGATTCAGTAGCTTGTGGACTCAAAACCGTGGTTTGCGTCGATGGCCTGATGGGCACTTATTTTGCTCCTTTCTTAGCCCATCTTTTTCATATTCATCAGAAGCAGAATTTATTCAAATACCTCTACATGAGAAGGAAACACTTGCTGTGGCTTTCAACTCCACATTCAGATTCGACGCTTTATCAATTAACAATAGTTAAATATGAATTCCTAGATAACGATGAAAGTTAAATGATCCAAATTCACATGACTGATAACATAATAAGAAAATGCCACTTTGCACTTAAACGTTTTTGAAAAGTTTTTCTGCCCCTGTTGAAAAGAAGAAAATATCAATTTTGTCAAAATGTTCGTGGTAAATAAACCGTTTATTTCTTATTTTAATAAAGAAAGAGTTTATTCATTTTTCCATCAAGAAATTTGTATAAAGTTCAAATTACATTTTACAATATCTAAATAACACATGCGCTGCCCATAGACTTCAATGTAAAATTCAAGGTGCAAATAGTTGCACAAAAATCAAAATTTTTTGAATTCCTTTGGTGGAGTATTTATTTTTTGATAACACCTTTAAAATGCTACCATGATTAAAAATATTCATTCATTTATTAATACCTTAACGTCAGCATTTCGAAAATTCTATAGTCATAATCATGACCTTGTAAACAAATATATCTTATAATTTCGGCTGATGTGTTTTATATTAGTTCTAAGACCTTTGATTTTATACTAGATATTGCCTACAGAAAGTTCTGTCCACCTGCTCGATGCATTGGTTCACATGCGTGACAAGTCCATAGGGGATGCTTCCTCCACCATGGCACATGATCCCACCTCCGATGATGCTTTGAGGGGTCAATGTTTTCTCTGCTCTCGATTTGTGTTGTTTCAATGGACTTTAGAGCTTGAATACTGTTCGTAATGTCCAAATTCCATTGCAAAACATGGGAAATTTAATGTTGGATAGGGATAAAGAGAAGAACTTTCTGAATCAAAGTACCCAGGAGAACAAGTTGAAAAAGAGAAAACAAATAAAACATATAATTGTTATAATAACCAAAAATGTACGGTCATTTTGTAATGTAAAAGGAGAAGATAATGAACAGTGATCAATCTCATAAATCCAGGAAACAAAGCGTTTTGTGAACAGGGCAGAACACGGACCTCTGGAAATATATAGGGTGAGATCAGGTGCCTTAGAGTTGTAAGCAATTCCTGTCAACTGGACACACCCTCCGTGAGCCCTACATGTATGTATTGATCTGGTAGACAGGGTACTCTGCTGTCAAATTTAGTATGAAAGCAGGGACTCCATAAAAGGTGTAAAACATACCATACAAAATACAATCCAAAAGGAAAGGTTGTATCCACAAAAAAGGTCATTATGACGATGATAAATTTTGCGATAGGCTGAATTTATTAGGGGTTGTTGAAATCTTTGTTTCTTTTTCTGCCGCTCTCTATATTCTGGGATGCAGGATTGTTATGTTTACTGATCAAATTTTCTGTTGAGTGAAGCAAATAATTTTAAGAATGTTTGATACCCAGGAATTCAAACTTTTATCATCCTCACGCCTGTTTAGAAAGGCAACTCTTTGAATTAAGTATTTCCACCATTTTCTGTTACATTATCCTCAACATTCACTTCAACAAGGTCCGCGTAAACATTTTCGCTGGTATTATAATTTCTTGAAGATCTTCTAGGCATACAATGACATAGGTATATTCGGATCTCGTAGATAATGTATAAGATGAGCATACATATTATACTTGTTCCAATTGAAATGATGACTGCTGTTTTTGAATGATACACATTTGCGGAATGCAAAGTAGTAGCTTTGAAATCGTTTCTGATTTTCAATTTGGCTGTATGATTGAACACTAGAACAAATGTGGATAATTAAAAGTCATGTGTAGATTTGTTGTAAGATTAAGTGTCTGAAATACCCGTGGTCTAATTCACACCAAAAATTTCATCTACATATAAGGATCATTTAGTTAACAAATAAATAATTTGCATAATAAATCTATCTGTACCCATTACAATGAGGAATAATAGAATTATTGTAAACAAGCTGATTTTATATGTTAAGGACATACGCAACATAGTTTGAACTTTATTGTCTTTTTCCTTGGAGTTGAAGAGTTCCAATTCTTAAAGGAACTGTTTGCTACATTTTAATGTCTATATATGCTGTAGTACACTTCTTCTAAAACAAGTTTGGATAAACAAAACATCTAGAATATATGTTTAGTAATTTTTGTATATTTTTCTTTGAATTAAACAAGAATTTTAATTAATTGATATCTTTTCAAAACCCCTGGTAATGCATGCTGATTTTTTGTCTATGAACATCTGATGGCACTATAATCTTAAAGTAAGAATATCTTGAAAAATTATCAGTAGGTGAGGTACGTTGCGTATGTCCTTAAGGTAAATCAACTTCATTAGATAAAGAGTAGGATGTACTACTTATATGTTATTTCAATTTATATTAAATTTATAAAATAGAATAATAAAGTAACAAAAAATCAGTTCTGCATAAATATTTTATGCATGTCAATATTAAAGGATTTTTCCTGTTACACCTTAACAGTGCTGCTTGATTGTCGATTTAGACTGTCGCAGCAAAACACAAAACACAAAAAATATCTTTGAGTGATGTTTCGGGAAATTGGATCAAGTGTGATATTCAATAAATAAAACAAATATAGAAACATTTTACAAAAAGTGTGAAATTTTTCAGCGATTTTCAGGAAACAGAGATAAAGATATGTTATACAATGTTTGCGATATCTAGCGAATTTCGTCACTTCCGGGTTGTCATAACAAACGTTTTCAGTGTTCAATGTAAAGTATGTAGTTTTTATCAGTTGATTAAGTTGTTTTCTTCCATTAATTTTCGTTGAAATTTGATTTCGGAAAATGAGATAACGAGTAGCATCTTTTCATACTTTGAGCGACCCTCTTTGTCCAGTTTTATATTCTAATGTAAAAATATAAGTGTGTTTTTTTTTGCTGTAGAAAATACTAACCAATATTTGTTTTGCCTGTAGTCTGGTTTACTGGTCGAGAAGATTCTAAAAGGAAAGATTTTTTTTTTTCAATAGTAGACTGCTAATGGAATAGTCCACATAGAATAAAATTAAACATTTTACCAAATATATTTTATATTTTCCCAAATAAAGATTACATTTCAGAAAGATCGACTTAATAAAAGGAATAAAATATGAAGATAACGAATAGTAATCAAGCTAAAAACTCCATTGAAACAGCACAAATTTGAAGCAGGGCAAATACTGACCTCTGAAAACATCATAGGTTAGATCAGGTGCCATGGAGAATTTAGCATTCCCTGTTGACTGGTCACACTCACCGTGTACTCTTTGTCATGGTCGGGCAAACGGAAAAATCAGTGGACAATACATTGTGAAAAGAATAGCCCAACAATTTGTTTGAAAAATGTTTGTCAACATTTGACTAAATAATAGACTGTATTTGCTTAAAAGGTCATTGTATCTACCCTAGAATTCGTAAAATGTTGACTTGAAACGAGTCTATTGAGTCTATTGTTTCTTCGACTTATTTGACAAAAACTTGCCTTGTTTTAGTAAGTGTTCGTAGTTCACGATTTTGCGTTTCGAATCAGCTGGGAGACAAAAACTCTATATGTAGGTAATAATGTTGAACTCATCACGTTTATCATCAAGTTTTCTTGTCAGGTTACCATTAATGTGTTTTTCTCGTAAATTATCCAAATTTGAAACAGATGTGTCCTACTCTGTGATATCTTTTGTATGGAGTTCAAAGAGATACATTAAATCAACGAAGGAATGATAATGAACATTGCTATAATAATTGATAAAACGTCGTCTATATACCTAAGTGTTGATTTGAAGGACACAGCAAGAGGCTTCTTCTTTTCATGTAGATGTTTTTTTTTTTTTTAATAAATTCCGCTTTATATGAATACAAAAATAGGTCTGCTAATAGTTAAAACAATTAAATCTGAAGTTAGAATGCTGCGTCCTTGTTTTATTGTTATCCCAAGAGAAGAATAATTTCTAATTGACAAATAAGTTGATGATACAAGGATATCAATGATCTCGTTTAAGTCAAGATTTTGTAAATTCTACAATGAACTTTTTTACAACTACTATCTATTGTTCAGTCGAATATTGACTTACGTCTTTCATACGAATTGTTAGATAATTATTTTCAAACGGAATTTTCTATGGATTTTTCCGATTACCTGATCATAATAAAGCGCACAGGACGGATATGACCTACCGACAGGGAATGCTCACTCCTTCTGGGCACCTGATCCTAACTCTGTTTTCAGAGGTCCGTGTTCTCTCTGTTCACGGTTTGTATTATTTGATTGGACTTTGAGTATGAGTACTGTTTGTTATCTTCACATACAAATATGTAAGTATTTACCGCAACATATCTGTTTCATAGTAATAAACTTCTTAATCGTTCTACATTTTTTAATCAATGAATAAAATTACGAGCATCTTTATAATAGTAAAAAACTTTCATTATAAATAATTCACATAAATATGTGCAAAATACCTGTGGTCAGAAGACATCCAGTCACATGACTGCAATAAGAATCGGAGCAATTACACGTGGCAGTACACAAAAATCCATATGTTGGATAGGGACATGGAGAAGAACAGTTTGATTTGAAATAACCAGGAGGACACTCTAGTAAAATAAAGAAATACACATATCATTGTATTAGTATCCTATAAAAGTACAAACATTCTGTAATTTACTACGAACTAAAACTAATTAATCACAATGGCTAATATACGAGTAATCCAAACTTGATATTGTTGGTTAAAAAGTAAAGAGAGTACAATTACTATTAAGATATATATATCTACTGAAATAAAGGAACGATTTTGACTACCCTTTGTACTTTGCTCTTATTTTCTACCAGGTTCATTTATTTTGATAACGTTTTAAAGATGTAAATGAAACTAGAATTTCAGAATAATCCAACATTACCTTGACAAGTGTTGTTCACTTTATAATAGTTATAACAGCATCTTTGGTTATTATTCTGAAGGATCCTGTATTGAAATAAGAAAACCTCGTCGGAATATTGTCTTTCATGATTTATTTACTCGAACAACTCAAAAGCATGTGAAAACAAATCTGAACAGTGACTTACCCCACCGAACAACCTGAAAAATGTAATTAACATTGCAATTAAATATTTCGTTGTTTCAGACTCTCTTTTTATAAACATTTGTTCCTAATCAAATAATGTTCAGTTTTTTTCAAAGTCCTATATTTTTTTAATGCTGTAAACTGATTGAATGCTTTGCAGACACATCTTACGCGTATACACCGGATAAATTTCATTTTACGACAACGATTTACCTGGAAGTGTACTTTAAAATAATAATATTGAAACATGTGCATGAAATGAAGTTTTTTCCGTTGCTTTTTACCTTTGAGACATCCATACCTAGGGTCACATTTACTGGGTGCACAGTCACATGTCTTTGCACAATGTGTTCCATATGTTGACGGTGGACACTGTTGAGCACACTTTAGTCCAAAGTATCCAGGTGGGCATTCTGGTTAGAAATACAATAAATATGCCTAGAGTTTTTTTTTTTATTTATAGAGAATTCTCCGAAATATCCAATCGTATTTACAAATCGTCTTTAACATGTACTATGTTTTTAATTCACGTGTAGTTACCATCACATTTGTCCCCAACTTTCTGATAATTTGTAGCACAGTTATCAGCACCATAGCTAAATAATCAAATGTTAATCAAGAAAACCAGAATTATTCAGTTATATAAAAATCTTATGAATAAAGATTAACATTCATGTAAAAACGAGTGAAAGGATTATCAGTTGTTTAAATATTTACGTCTAAGAAAAAACAAGTATATCCATGTATGACCAACTGATATGATTACAGTTTATACAAACAACAAAACTGTTTTCAAAAAAAAATCATACTTACCTAAATTTGTTGCTAAGTATAGCAATGAATTTTATGAAATAATAGAAAATGTGGTGTTGGATAATCACCATCTTATTTGCAAATAAAGTGATAAATGGACTGAGAGTTGCATTCATCAGAATTAAAAGAAAAACAAGGAAATTTATGTATACATTACTTCCTCATACATGTATTAAGGCTGGGTAAAAATGGTTTTATCAAAATATGATGCATTTTATCCACTGACGCCATAAACATACTCACGCCTGTCGCATGTATTTATTCTAGACTTACAATTCAGTTCTAGCAGTGTTATTATTATAATACATAGATACACGAATCTTCAATAGAAGCTATTTCCAAAGTGTAAACTCTGATTATCTTGATTGCAATTATTTAAAATAATGCATCAGTAAGGAAATGGATTTCTCTTTCCATTACAATGAAAAAGGTGAAGATAACAAACAACAATCCTTCTGAAGAAAAACATACAAACAATACAAATCTGTGATGAGGGCATAGAAGACGGACCCCTGGAAATTCTAGAGGTGGGATCAGGTACCAAGGTGGAGTATGCATTCCCTGTTGACCGGCCACACCCTCCGTAGGTCCTATGCATTGATCAGGTAGACGGAATGTTCCGTAGTGAAATTTAGTATAATAAAAATATCTATCAATGGGTATGAAATATGTCATTCAAACCACGACCCGATGAAATGATGTATTTGCTTACAAGGTTATTATAATGGCAATAAAAATTACGAAATTCTGACTTTTAAAGATACAACTTTCAGTGGTAGAACAACATCCTTTACCACCCTGAAATTATCACTAATACCAATTAAGTTATTGAAATTTTATTATCACTTTTATGTAATATTGGTGATCTGACAAAGTTCCATATCCTACAGATCAGCCATCCAAATAAAACATAACACATGTCTTGTGTGAATATTGTCATTTATTAGATGACAATACATCAAATATTATCATTCTATATAATGATAACAAAAACAATCTAAGGGGAGATCCAGACAATACTGACATCACAAGTTGCTTTTATAAAATCCCTGAATATGACAAAGTGATCTCCCCTGTTACATAACTTTACAAAACTTTGACAAAATAAAATACAACATAAAACTTTTCACCAAACTATCCAAAAATGATATTTTAATATATACAAAACAAAAAAGAGCAGAAACAAAAAAGAACAGCAATGATAATAAATACAAGACAAAAACAGCAGTCCTTGTACGTAATCCATACTTTACTTATCTATATTTACATTCATATAAATTTTAGCAATGCTGCTAACAGTTATACAGGTGAAAGATGGGGAAGGAGGGTGGGTAAGTCAACAAAATTCCTCCTTGTTTACACTAAAATTCGTTGAACCGACGCTATCTAAATATCACGTGATACTGCCTTGCAATATGATTGGATAATTGCTCTTTAACTTTAGGATCTAGCTAAAAACACCAAAGGCATGAAAAACCTAGCATTACATTAATAACCAAGGCAAGAAAATGGGCATACATATCACAAATTACATAAATGTCATTATTTACAATAATGTTGTATTATGTAATATTGGTGATCTGACAAAGTTCCATATCCTACAGATCAGCCATCCAAATAAAACATAACACATGTCTTGTGTGAATATTGTCATTTATTAGATGACAATACATCAAATATTATCATTCTATATAATGATAACAAAAACAATCTAAGGGGAGATCCAGACAATACTGACATCACAAGTTGCTTTTATAAAATCCCTGAATATGACAAAGTGATCTCCCCTGTTACATAACTTTACAAAACTTTGACAAAATAAAATACAACATAAAACTTTTCACCAAACTATCCAAAAATGATATTTTAATATATACAAAACAAAAAAGAGCAGCCACCAAAGGCAAACAGAATGTTTGCAACCCCCACACAAGGAAGTAGCAACACGTTTTCTAATTTCATAGAACAAAAATGTCTTAAGAACATTGCACATGACCATGTGAAATGAAGAACCAGTAGGCACATTATTATGCAAAATAAGTAATACATAACAATAAAATTAAACGGTGACATTAAATACATGTTAGGTAAGACTTTTTGGTCAAGACCTGTATTCAAAATTAAAGCATTAACAGTAATTCTATGTACACAACTACATGTAAAGGTGTAGTGAGCAATACTGCACACAGCAGTTGACTGCTGACCTGTGTGCAGTTTATAATGGAAAAGGACTAGAATATACACAGCAGTTAACTTCTGACCTGTGTTTTGGCCAAGTAAAAAAGGGGACTAGGGAATACACAGCAGTTAACTTCTGACCTGTGTTGTTTTGCAACAAGGGACTAATAAAAATACTCAGAGACACAGCAGTCGACTTCTGACCTGTGTATGAGCACTAGACTATGGCACAGTTGATTGAACACGGTATTTTATAAGGATCTAACCAGAGGTTGGAATTCAAACTGTAAAGCCTTGCAAGCGTATATATCTACGAACAGCATCAGATTTCCATCTGCCCATTTTCTGAATGCAGTTTTCAGAATAGCCTAAATGTGCTGCGTGTGTAGCTGCCCCTATTCTGAAACTATGCCCTTTATAAAGAGCTGGGTTAAGGCCAATAAAGCGAATTGTATTTTGTAAGTTTTTGGTTACAAATGCATATGTGACTGGTTCACCCCCCACAAATTGAAATAAGGGACCCGATTCGTGAGAAAATGTTTTTAGGTAGAGACACAGTGCTTGAACTGGGCACATATCTTCGTTGCCTGAAGCCTGAAGGTTAATTTGAAAAAAGATCATTTGTTTTATTTGTTTTGAAGTTCTTCAATACTATTGTGACTGCACAAGGTGTTTCATGTTGAAATTGAAAAGTCACATCGTCTCGCTGAATGACTTTGGATTGGTCATCTTTTGATTTGATAACAAGTTCCCCTAAACGCAAGAATGCATTAAACGCTAAAAGGAAAATGGACTTGAGTAGGATCCTGGAATATAAATTCTGTACTGATGAACTGAGACCTCTTACTAATTTTGACAATATGGGGGCAGTAATTGGCAATCTTGAATCTTTGTTTGGTGCAGAATGATAGCACCCTTGGAGAATTTTTCTGACTAAAAATGCCTCAGCAGGATCTGGGAGAGACAGTATCTTGTGCACATAGCTAATTGCTGATACATGTGAGGATATACTGCTAGGGGAATACCCCTTTGAAAAAAGTTGTGCTATAAAATTTGATAAAACTGTAGCAGTAATCGGAAGGGAATCGATTGTAGGATATTCTAAGGCAAACATGTCCCATGTTCTTTTGTAAGAGGCCTTTGTACTATTCGATAAAGCAGCTGCTAGAAGTTGGCATGCTTGTGGATTCAGATTTTCAAACAGGCCTGTGGAATGTGTGTTGGCTGTCGATTTAACTGAGGCATGAACTGGAAGGCTGCCTGAAATTGGAATCGAGATAAGCGGTCAGCTGCAACATTGTGTTTTCCTGGTATATGTTTTGCCCTAAAGTGTATGTTCCATTTTAAGGTTGCCAACACAAGGCGGCGTATCAATTTCATGAGGATTTTTTCTTTGGCAGTTTGCTTATTTATAACTTGTACCACCGCCATGTTATCCGACATAAAGAGTACCCTTTTATTTTCCATCTCTTTGCCCCAAATTTCAATGGCCAAAACTATTGGGAAAAGTTCTTTAATTGCAATTTGATATTCCCCCATATTGTCTTGCCAATGAGAAACAAACCACTGGGTGTCTAAAATGGCTGCAAACCCCATGGACCCAGAAGCGTCTGTGTATAATGTGAGGTGGTCAGAGGAAAACCATTTTTCTGACAAGAAAACAGATTTTCCATTAAAAGTGGCTAGAAATGTTAGCCATGTTTCTATGTCAGCTTTTGTTTCATGAGGGAGTTCAATCAAGTCATTGGGATGTTTTACACCACAGGTCAAATCGATCAAACGTCTCAAGAAAGCACGCCCAGGAACAATTACAGAACATGCAAAGTTCAGTAACCCGATTAGGGCTTGAAGATCACATAGATTTGTTCGGGTTTTTCCCAGCATATCTAAAAGCTTTTGCTTTACTTTCCTAATTTTGTCAAAGGGAAGACGAGCTTCCATTCTAGTAGAATCTATCTCAATGCCATAGATTGTAATAATTGTGGTCGGAGTTTGTGTTTTTGACATTTTGATAGGAACCCCAATTTTCCTGCATAAGTAGAGGAAGTTTGTTAGATCTTTTTCGCAGTTAGGAGAATCAGCTGGGCCAATAAAGAAAAAATCATCTAGTATGTGAGACATACCCCCTGCCATGTACCTTGACTGCATAATCCACTGCAAGGCTACACTTAACTGTTCAAAAATCTGACATGAACTGCTTGCTCCCATCGGTAGACATCTGTCGAAATAAAACTTATTCTTCCAAGAAAAACCTAATAAATGATAGTCAGATGGATTAACTGGGATTATTCTAAAAGCATCGTCTATATCAGTTTTTGCCATCAAGCAGTTCTTGCCATTCTTCTGAACTAGCTGAATTAAGTCAACAAAATTCCTCCTTGTTTACACTAAAATTCGTTGAACCGACGCTATCTAAATATCACGTGATACTGCCTTGCAATATGATTGGATAATTGCTCTTTAACTTTAGGATCTAGCTAAAAACACCAAAGGCATGAAAAACCTAGCATTACATTAATAACCAAGGCAAGAAAATGGGCATACATATCACAAATTACATAAATGTCATTATTTACAATAATGTTGTATTATAAGCTGCAGATTTCTAGAACTCTAGTCTGAAAAATTTAGAATTGATGAAAATAGAGCTACAGATTCACTCTTTAAAAGGTATTTGCATTGTTTTTATTGCGAACAAAAAGTGCGCACGCTTCTCGATTTAAATTTGTGTATATTTAAGTTGTCGTATTAAGATATATCTAACTGTATGTTATTAACGTAATCTTTTACTATATCCTAAAAATGTATAACTGTCATTAACAGCCCTCGTAGGCCTTAAATTGCTACACAATTTATTTTCGATAACTTTGATAAAATGCATTTACAACCCATGTAAAAAACTTTATGTTATGAAATATTCAATGTGTTTGAGGTTGACTCACAGGTATTGTTACCATCAGGGAAGCCCAATCTCTAGAGCGAGCGCTCTGTGATCTGAAGGTCGTCGGTTCAAGTCCAGAATGCAACAAACCTAAGTCGATAAAAAATAGGTTGCATTTTTTTCTTTTCGGAGCCCTCTGCACTTTAAAGTCGTTCTGAGATGAAACCTTAAAAACCGAGGAACTCACTCACTGTGCTATGGTCCTGAATGCCGAGTAATTAAAGGTCTAAATTTAAAGTCTCTATCTAGGAAGGTCTCATATAAATTAATTTTGCAAGAGACGTCACACTGTGTCTCCTAAACTTTCAACAACTTTTTACTTTTGGTTAGCAATTCCATAAAGCTAATCTGATCAATTCTGTCATTTTAATTTTGTTTTATATGTACGGAAATGAAATTGTACCCCACTCCTTCATTATGTACCTCACCCAAAGATTTCTTGTATTTCATGTATAAATGTTTTACTTTTATAAAAATGTATACTTCGATTGCAATGCCTTATTTTGATTTTTGTTTTGCTTTGCTAAATAGTATATTTTACTAGGTAAAGATCTGCTAATTAAGTTTAATATTCCATTGTACATTGTACATGGTATACTTAACAATAATATGTTGACAAAACAATAACATTCAATATACAAATTTGGAATGTACAGAGCAAATAATAACGCAGAAAAAATCGTATAGGAGGGAAAGTTAATTCGAAAATTATTTAAGGAAATAAAAAAAGCCTAAGTATTTAGACATTATACAAGCCAAAATTATTATTCATTGGCTGATCTTTAAATATTTCATCAGATTACATGTATACATATATGTTAGTGATTTAACACCTTTTCTAATGTGAAAAAATCCATATATTGTGTTCCGTATTAATATATACAGTATGCATTGCAAGATATTCAAACGTGTACTTTTTTCCTTGCTTATCTTGGGGGAAAGTAAATAGATTCAATAGAAATGCTCACATAAAGCAAAAAAACACTGTCTTACCCGAGTCTTTCAAACCCTTTCTTCTTCAAATAGATGCTTGCAAATTAGTTGCGTCCAGCATCTTTCTTTTTTTAACTAAAGTCTGCATGAACGTACACGCAGTCTACAGCATGGTTAATTTTCGAATGTTTTAGACATAAGATAACGTTCACATTATATCTCACATATAATAAGTAAATGAAAGATAAGCATATGTATTATAACTTTTCACAATTATTTGAATACTGTTGCATGTGAACGCCGCCAACATTTGGAAATGTAAAGCTGTGTCAAGTAATGGGCACTTGTCAACTTATCTACAATAGCGCTTTTTATTTTAGCGAGTTCCTGACAGAATACCATAACAACACTCTGCTACGTTACGGTACTGTTACGACAATAATTGTTGCAGGATTATGTAATAAAAACCTATATGCGTATTTACTTAATAGTTCTGATGTACGACATTTTATGCAAAATTGCTCTCTTATTTAGTATTATAAAGTGTTTAAAGGAAGTTCAACCTCGGCAACATCCGTGTGGATGGGGGGAGGGGGAGGGCATTCACCCGCTACACAGTCATAGTCATATATAGTTTAACATAATGTACCATATGTTGATGGTGGACACTATTTCGATTAGTTCTCTCCGAAATTACAAGGCGCTTTCTGCATATACCTAGGTTTTCAACGTTTTAGAGAATTCCTCGAGTCATCATTTTCTACAGCGTTATAAGTATTTACATGTAATATGATTCTTTTTGATTTCTCAATTCATTTTACCCATGTGATATTTTGCTGTACACTCCTCTGCACCATAGTTAAATTGACAGTTCTCTACCCCCCCCCCCCCGCCCGAATTAAAAACAAAACAGAAAACTAATTAGAAAACAGAAAATAAAACAGAAAAGAAGTTTAGGAATCTCAAACTCACAGTTACATAAAAATCCATTGATGTCTTAGCAAAGTAGGGAAAAAAACACAATTAATAATATTATATGATTAAGTAGTACATTTTTGTTAAGAAAATAAAATACCTAGGTAAATCTGTATCAAGATATTTATCAAAGCATTAAAACATGTGACAAAAATATAGAAAGGGTATTGTCATTATCAACATCCCAATTTGTAGCAAAAAGGATTAGGAACTAAAAGTTGAATTTATCAGATTTACCTGCATCAAACGAGGAAATTAATGCTTGAATCAATTTACAATCTTTATGTGTCGTTTATTAATCATTAAGTGTTATGAACACTTTAATCTCACATACTTGCACCAAGAATTATACATGTACATTTAGTTATAATTCTACTGGAAACTAGCTTGATGCTAAGAGTTCTTAGAAATTGTGTTTAGTGTGGCCTGATGGGCACTTATTTTGCTCTGTTCTTAACCGATCTTTTTAATATTCAAGTGAAGCAGAATTTATTCAAAACTTCTACATAAGAAGGAAACACATTGCTGTGGCTTTCAACTCGACATTCAGATTTGACGTTTTATCAATTAACAATAGTTTAATATGCACTCCTAAATAACGATTAAGGTGAAATGATCCAAATTCATATGAATGATAACACAATAATAAAACGGCCATTTTGCACTTAAACGTTTTTTGAAGAGTTTTCTGCCCCAGTTGAAAAGAAGAAAATTTTAACTTTGTCAAAATATCTGTGGTAAATGAATCATTTATTTCATATTTTAATAAAGAAAACGTTTATGCATTTTTCCACCAAGAGATTTATATGAAGTTCAAATTACGTCTTGCATTATCTAAATGCACTGCCCATAGACTTAAATTTAAAATTCAAGGTGCAAATAATTGGACAAAAATCACCATTTTGCGAATTCCTTTGGTGTGGTATTTTTTTATATAACACCTTTAAAATGCTACCATGATTAAAAATATCGGGCCATTCATTTATTAGGTACAAAATACGGCCGTTATACATTGAATATCTTAACGCCAGCATTTCGAAAATTCTATAGTCGTTATAATGACCTTGTTAACAAATATATCATTTTGGCTGACGTGTTTTATATTAATTCTAATACCTTTGATTTTACACTAGATATTGCCTACGGAAAGTTCCGTCCACCTGTTCAATACACAGGATTCAGAACAGGTGATGCTTACATGTACTCCTTCATGGCACCTGTTCCCATGGCCATCTCCGATGATGCTTTGAGGTGTCCGTGTTTGCCCTGCTCTCTATCTGTGTCGTTTCAATGGACTTTAGAGCTTGCTTACTGTTTGTAATGTCCAGATTTCATTACAGCACATTGAAAATTTTATGTTGGATAGGGATAAAGAGAAGAACTGTCTGAATCAAAGTAGCCAGGAGAACAAATTAAAAAAGAGAAAAAAGAAAACAAATAAACATATTATTGTTATAATAACCTACAATGTATGGTCATTTTGAAATGTAAAGGGTGAAGATAACGAACTGTGATCAATCTCATAAATCCAGTGAACAAAACGTATTGTGAACAGTGCAAAACACGGACCTCTAGAAATATTTAGGGTGAGATCCTGTGCCTTAGAGTTGTAAGCAATTCCTGTCAACTGGACACACCCGCCGTGAGCCCTACATATGTATATTGATCTGTTAGACAGGGCACTCTGTAGTCAAATTAAGTATGAAAACAGGGACCTCACAAATGGTGTAACACATACTAAAACAAAATACAATCCGAAGAAACCTTGTATCCACAAACAAAGTCATTATAACGATGATAGATTTTGCAAAAAGCTGAATTTATAAGGGGTTGTTGAAATCTGTTCTCTTCTCTGTCGCTTTCTATATTCTGGAACGCAGAATTGTTATGTTTACTGATCAATTTTTCTGTCGGGTGAAGCAAATGTTTTCAAGAATGTTTAATACCCAGGAATCCAATCCTTTATCATCTTACAGTCTGTTTAGAAAGGCAACTCTTTGAATTAAGTTATGCCACCATGTTCTGTTACATTATCCTCAACACTCACTTCAACAAGGTCTGCATAAACATTTTCGCTGATATCGTAAGATCTTCTCGGCATACATTCGGATCTCGTAGACAATGTATAAGATGAGCATACATATTATACTTGTTCCAATTGAAATGATGACTGTTGTTTTTGATTGATACACATATGCGGAATGCAAAGTAGTAGCTTTGAAACTGTTTCTGATTTTTAATTTAGTTGTATGATTCATATGTGAATAATAAGTCATGTGTAGATTTGTTGTAAGATTAAGTGTCTGAAATACCCATGGTCTAATTCACACAAAAAATTTCATCTACATATAAGGATCATTTAGATAACAAATAATTTGCATAATAAATCTATCTGTACCAAATGCAATTGAGGAATAATAGATTTATTGTAAACAAGCTGATTTTATATGTTAAGGTAAATCATGAGAGTAAC